GGGGTTATTAATCAAGAGTTCCCATTAGAGTTGGGGAGCTCATTTCTGATCGAGTTCTTCTGGCTTCTTATGAAAGCCCAGGAAGTCTCAAGACTAGGGTTTAGGGTTTAGGGTTTAGGGTTTAGGGTTCCTTTCCAGCGTCGCTTCCCTGTTAAGGCTCTCTTCGGGAACTTGTTTTCTCCGGCGTTTAAGATTTCAGGGTTGACGGTTTGAGGTTTAGGGATTACGGTTGATGTTAAGAGAGTTGAGCATTACCCATTGTATTGCAGTGCAAACTCCAGCCAATGCCTGGTAAAGCAGGCACAGGGCGAATCGATCCACACGACGTAGTTCTAGACATACTAATATGATGGAGTACTATGAGCGAAAGACGCTAGTACCAAGTTGCGACTTCGGGACTTTCTCCAGAAATATACCATAAAGTGATACAAAGCCCTGAAACCCTAGCAACCCTGCAGCCAACGGGTTTCCATTCTACGGAGCATTCCTTAATTCCTTGAGTACAGGATTGCAGGGTTTTTGGCCCACCCAGTGCTGCTACGGCCTGATCCAAGGCGGCAGTCACCTCCTCCTGCAAGTGACAGAAAGCTGATATCAGGCAGGCCGAACATCCTTTAGGGTTTAGGGATGATTATTTGCGCCGTTTTGAGGGGAATTAGAAAGCCTTTAGCTATATTCCCTTTTCTTAGACGCTCTATGCTTCATATAATAATAGGCTTCTATCTCCCAACCTGAAAAACTGTTTGACACAAAACGGAACTATAATGGAGACCATAGGCAAGCTTTGAATTTGAGCCCTACACTCCAAACCCTAAACTTAGGGCCCAAAAAAACCCAAACCCCGCCCACACTCCAAATCCTAAACCCTCAAACCCGCAAACCCTGAATCCTAAAACGGTGAGCTAAAGGATCAGAAGCCCTAGGAAGCGACTTCGGTGGTCGAGGCAAAACTTAGCAACAACGCTCAAACAACGTGAACCTTAGGGTTTAGGGTTTCAAGATCTCTTGGAGCCCATAATAGATAGAATAGTGCTTCGGGGTATAAGGTTATCATTGTATTAATGTAGGGGCCTTAATAATTTGAAGACGGCTTTGGGGTATATTATAATATATTTCTCAAGAAGGAGGCGCTCCAAAATAGAATAGGTAATTATTTAAGCCCCTATATTAGATAGAGTAAAGTTCATGCCTTCATGTCGCTCCGTTGAGTGAACATATCTCCAGTTGTGAGCTCCTACGCAAGGCCGGAGGCAAGCAACAACAAAATCATGTCCCCCAAATAGGGTTTAGGTTATAGGGTTTCAGTATGAAGCTACCCAACTTTGTTCGTGTCCTTGCTGTCGAGGCAAGAAATGGAATCTTTAGCGCTGACCACATGAAATTCCGCAAGAACACCACGATGGAGTTGAACGACCCGCCTTCAAGCTTTCAACGCAAAGCCCTAGTGTTCATCGCAGCTCCGTCCTCAATACCTAGCCCTGATCCCTAAACCCTGAACCTTTATAGCTTTCCGGTCTTGCGGAAGTCTTGACTACACTCGCTCAACGAGTGACCGCGCACCTAAAGTCCTAAATTCAGTCCTACATCCTAAAACTTCAAACCTGAGCACAAGACTCAATAAAGCAGGCGGCAATGAACGTCGATCGGCGCCTAATCTTACCCCAACGCCCCTGCAATCATGAATAGCAGCTCTAAAGCGTAAAAACCTGTGTTTTTACTTTGGATTTAATATAGGCCCTAAATAAATCCCAATACTATTATTTGGGGGCTCCTTGTTATTATTATAGTATAATATACCCCAAAACCCTATTCTAACTAGTAAGGCCCCTGATCGGACTAGGGCTTGCAGCGTTTGGAAGCAGAAAATTAAACCCTAAACCCTAAACCAAGGTTGGGGGGTTTAGGGTTTTAGAATAGGACTTGATGTCGATGGCCTCTGTCGAGTAGCGCCCAAGGTTGATCAGATGAAGCGTCCTGAGAGATGGATTCTCCTCTGACACTAGGGAAAGCGTAACTGTAAGCCTTAGCAGGGTTTTAGGTTTATGTTGAGAGTGTCCAGAAAAACCCCGGACCCTGGGCCCTAGGCCAAAGTTGAATACTGTTGCGTGTCTAGCGTCGGTTGGCCGGAACTTTCGATGATTTGGGTTGGAAATGTCTGGACCAGGGTCCACATATGTATCTATATATATATATATATTTGGCTACCTTTCTGAACTCCTCAAACATAGATTAAAGCCTGAACCGGAAAGCCGTCAAACCCCGGAATCATGACTGGGATCCCAAGTGCCCACACCCAACATAGTCTTAAACCCTGCACCTTGAACGGTAACTTTCACACAGCTCATAAATATATCAGCGTCTAGGGTTTGGACCTTACAAGCCCTACATTGCGCAAATCTCCAACATAGAACTTGCACAGTAAGGAGCAAAGATCCTAAGCCTTGCACCACGCACCCAATCCCGAAATTTCAGGCCAAGATCAAAACCCTAAACCCTGAACCCTAGGCCAAGATCATCACCTGGGGTTCGTGGGCCCCGTGGCGCAAGCGTTGCCAGGTTAGTCAGAAGGCTTTTGGCAGCGTACTGCGACAGGTCGAGGCAGGTATACACGTTCGAATACGTTGAGCATCCAAAAGCACCCTTGCAGCGACAAGGCGGTTGTGGACGGCCAAGCTCGGCGGTGGCTACCAGCCGCCGTCCCGATGGGGCGGTAGAGTGGAGCTGGTGATATGGAAGAAGGGCACCGTTGAATCCGTTGACCACTTCACCTGTGAGGTTCAAGACCGAGAAATCCAGGTGCAGATGCTCCGATGTACCCTAAACCCTAAACCCGTTAGGGCTTATAGGATTTACGGTGTTCAAGGTACAAAGGCTCGCGAATCCGCACAAGTGAAACCCCGAAGCCCGAAAGTCAAATGCTGAGGTCCTAAACATACCACGGTTTAGGGTTTAGGGTTTGGCTTGTCGCCCACACTGCTATTGCTTGCATTATTACGACACAGCATTAACCATTGTTGTTGCGATGCCCCTCCTGCGTGCAACCCACCGAGGCTACCCGAAAACCGTGCTCGAGCCGTTTAGACCTGCCGGGAAATTTCTAACGAGTCTAACGGGTTCAAGGTTTTAGGGTTTAGGTTCAGGGTTTAAGGTTTAGGGTTATGCTGATGTAGGGACCTTCATAATTAGCATTGGGTTTTGGGGGTTTTTTATTATGACTATAGCATAATATACCCCCCAAACCCTCTTCTAATTATTAAAGCCCCTGTATTAACGCTCTAGGAGCCTTGCACTTTCACCGTGCGAATGATATGGAAGCACTCAGGTTGAGCGTGCAGAGTTTGAGTTCCGGGTATTGGCTCAGAAGAAAAAACATACACAACATACGCAGCCAGCCACTCATTCCCGTGAAGAATACCTACATGACAATTCAGACAACTGTGAAAATAGACCAATGGAAGCCCCTGCCGCCTCTGACAATTCAGAATTTTGCAGATGGTTCAGGTCCGCAGGGCAGAAGTTTAAACCCAAAACCCTAAACCGCTGGCTGGTACTAGCAGCATCCTGGAACAGTTCGATGCTGGTAACTGAGGGTTGCTCAACTTGGCTGCACCATCGGCCTGCGAGCAAATATGGAGCTATGATAGTGACGGTTTAGGGTTTAGGGTGTAGGGAAGGCGAAAACAAAAAACTGCTCATGATGCGGATGAAGATGGCGAGGTGATGCTGATTTGACGATGATGGTTCTGAACCAAACGATCATGCTTCGTGATGTTGGTGAGGGTGATGAAGACGGCACAGTTGAGGATGGTGATGATGATGCTGCTGCTGATGATGGTGATGGTAACCATGGCGGTGGTGACGGAGATTTCACTGACACTGGTGGCGATACAGCTGCTTTGTTGAAGACGAAAATGACAGTGGTGCCAGAATGGTGATGATGATGCTTCTTTTGACGATGGTGTGGTGATGAAAGGTGCCGGTCGCGATGATGAGAATGAAGATGATTTCGATGACGATGATGATGGCGACGACGATGATAGATACAGACTATGATCGGCGCGAGGAGGGGGCAGAAGGCGGTGGAGGACGAGGAGGAGGAGCAAGAGGAGGAGGGGCAGGCATGCAGAAAACGCCGGAAACTTGATAATTTGCGCATAGAGTGCAGGGTTGAAGGCTCGTACTTTGGGAGAGGCACCGAAGGATGGGATATAGACGCCCTCTAAGATTAAATACTTCCCGTCGAAGGTACATGTAGTAAATTTTCGGAAAACGGCCCAACATGGCGGTTGAACATAGGAATCAGGGATTACAAACCCTCATAGGAACACCTATAGACGAAACCTTACAGAACCCTCAGTACGGCCGCACCCTAAGCCCTAAACCCTAAACCAAAACCCGCGTAGCCTGGTCCGAGTGAGGAGATGCGTCCGCGCGGTTGGAGTGGCCGCCTTTCTCAACTTCCCGCTCGCTAGTGTAGGAGTTTTAATAATTAGAATGGGGTTTGGGGGCCCTTTATACCAAAGTTATAATAAGGAACCCCTAAAATAATACCGATCGATAATTATTTAGGCTTCTATATTATTTGAGGTTTACGAAGGGCTTTTAATTCTTGGGTTTAGGGTTTAGAAGGGGTTGTGGGGTTTAGTGGGCTGAGGGTCACCCTAAGCCCTAAGTGTCCAAAGGACCAAATAACAAGGTGCGCCCTGCTCAATAGCATCCTTGTTCTCGCTGGTCTCTGGCCTGGGAGGTAATTGGCTGTAAGGGTTCATGAACTGCAGAACATGGTTGAATGGGTTACTCGAAACGGGAGAGATGCAGGAGGTATTAGTGCCCTGCGCAATGGCATCCTTCTCCTCGCTGGCCTCTGGCCTGAGAGGGAATCGACTGTAAGGTTCCATGAACTGCAGAACATGTTTGAATGCGGCACTCGAGTCGGGAAAGATGCAAGAGGTCTTAGTGCGATGCTCAATAGCATCCTTGTTCTCGCTGGTCTCTGGCCTGGGAGGGAATCGACTGTAAGGAGAACATGGTTGAGTGTGGTATTCGGTACGTGAAAAATGCACGAGGTCTGGGTGGCCCTCTCAGTAGCATCATTCTCCGCACATACATCGTCTTCGAAATCGCTGATCGATTTCCTCCTGAATATAAGTTTGTACACGTGGTGTGAACGTTACAACAATGCAAGTTCTAAGTGTTGCCCGCTAATGCAATGAAGTTTCTTGGAATTGCACGGGTTCTTGTTCTTTGTGCGATTGGTCCGCAGATGCTAGGGTCGTTGGTAATAGGACAAGCCTGTGACGTCGCATCGAGGCCCGCGCCCCATTTTGAACTGCATGGGGCCGACGGCCGGTATGAAGATGGGCTTACTTTTTTGAATGTGACTTCTACGTTCCCTACTGTTAGACAAGCCACTCGAACCTGTGGTCTCATGTCCATCTGGCTGGCTCTTGACCACGTGAGGTGGGCTTGCGATGGCCATGCCTGCACAAGATGCAGCAATGCCTGTTACAGTTGATGCTAGTATCATGCAACTGTCACTCGATGTCATGCCTTGCGATGGACGCAGGTTGCAGGAGTAGAATCGCCAGAGGCTTTGCAAAACCTGACAGCAGACAACAGGTTGAGCGATGTTAGGTAGACGCTTATCATATAGACAATGGAGGCATGTTCCATAAGCGTAGAAATGCATCCGAGCAACTTGAGCCTGCCCCAATGCAGGACTATGGATCGTCCGAAGGCCAGCAAGGCTGGTCTGACATCGGCCAAACCTACAGGAAGGCAAAATTGATGGCGCTCCGAGTTGGAGACTTTAAGTATAACAGCAGCGAGTCGGGCCCATAGGGTCGAAGGCAGTCATGATCTCCAAGCAGACAGTCGCCATGATTGCGAACCTGGCATGATGATTAACTGCACACCCAGATAGTGGCAACGTGGCCCACATGTTGCAGTCAAGCGGCTGAAGAAGGAGTGAGGTTGCGAAGATACTGAGGAGGTAGTGGTTTGGCACAAGCTGCAGGCTGCGGTTAAAAGATGTTCACATTTCATCGCAAGACGATACTTTCGTGTCAATGCAAAGCGAAGTTGTTCTATAGTTTGTGGTCGTGTATACATCACAACTTTGCACGATTCATCATGTTTCGCTAGGAAACCATATACGTTATAAAGTCTCCGGTCCCAAGCCTCCATGTACTGCGCCTGCAGGCACTCTTCGTACAGACCTGAGTACGGACATGTCCGCAACATGCAAAGAGTTGCATCGTCACCACAAGTAACCTTGCAACCACAAAAAAACGCAGTCGTTCAACCGAACCACGCGCAGTGGTTTGAAGGGAACTCATCCACAACAAAGGCGCATCACCTACACTGCTGCTTTTGCATGTTTACCTAATTGCAATGCATGGCTGGGAACTGACAAGAATGTCTGTAGTGTTGTGCTGGCACGATTCTCCGAGTAGCTGTCTTTCATTATACATTCTAATAACCAGGAAGTTTTTGTTGCAACTGCACATAGTGTCTGGCAGCACAGACCCAGATCGGAATAATTGTTGGGAACATCGACAGCGTCGCAAGCGTGATTCTCTCAGTAGCTGTCCTTCATCATTTGCTTACTTCTCTCATCTTTTTCCCGTAACATAGGCTCATAACCGACACCGATATCTTCTCGCATTTACCTAACTGCAACGCATGGCGTGGAGCTGACAGAAATGCGCGTAGTGCTGAGCTGTGCTTGGCACGATTCTCCCAGTAACTGTCCTACATTATAGCTTCCAATAACAATGAACTAGTGTCTCGCAGCACAGACCCAGCTCCGAAGCACTGTTGCGAACATCGACAGCGTAACAAGCGTGATTCTCCCAGTAGCTGTCCTTCATTATTTGTTTACTTCCCTCAGCTTTAGGTGCCGGCCATGCTATTATATCGCAAAGTATTTATACATAAGACTGACTCGTGCGTGCAACTTGGTGCCGAACGTCGACGACGTTGCGTCTCAGGCCTGCCGTGGTGACGTACACACGACTACACATCTCAAAGAGTGTGCGATGATTGCCAGACATAGAATTGAGGCAAAAAGTGTGTATTCTTTTTGCTTGGTAGAAACAGCTCTCAGACAGATGGCTTCTTCCACGGAGCCCACTCGCAGCTTGGCTTGCGGCTCTCTTAAAGCCCCTGCGAAGCTGTTCACACGCAAGACAAAGTTTATCATGATCATTCGCAAAACCCGGATACAAAATGCCATCGGCATTCGGATATCCTTGATGCTTGGGTGCATCGGGATCTTGCTTCGCGGCCGCTTTCGCGGTTTGGAAGCCGGCTTTGGGTTTGGGTTTAATGCTCTCAGCGTCCATCACATTAGTGAGTGGACGGGGGGGAGGGGAGAGTGCCTTCACCATCGCCGCCTTAGGCGGGGGACCTGCTACTGTGGATAGTTGTTATCTAGGTTAATATTTGGGAGAGTATATGTTTATTCGGTACTTGGACCCTTTGGGAAACCGTCTAGAAGGGTTTAGGCTGTTTGTGTAGGGACCGAGGTACCCAAGCAGCAGGGTCTACGGTCCCAAATACCGCGCTCTGAATGCTGAATGGTTTTTTTTGCACCGAAAAGCCTCTTGGCCGAGGGTTTAGGGTTTCGGGTTTAGGGGTTTATAGGGTTTCGGGTTTAGGGTGAGTAATTTTGGCACTTGAAACAACCAGTCGCCAATGTGGGCGAGTCTTCATCTTTACTCCGCAGCTGTGAGGGATGTGAATGTCCAAGTTGGGGACTGCGCTGGCCATGCGCCCTGCTGAAGCTTCAGCTGCACGGAACTATCCTTATCAGAGAAGCGCGAACAGCAAGAGGACTAACGCATGCATGAAGAGCTCGTGCCTGCGTCGGAGACGGCGGCATTGACCCCGTCCAAGGAACACCATGGTACCTAACCTTTCCGCCAACTTTGTGGAGGAGCCCCTATGATAGTCGACATTCTCAATTCTCCACATGAAGGGCTCAACATTAACATGCTTCAACAATTATGGCAATATACCTTGAAAGTCCGTCCCCGGTCCGTACTTGGTTGTTGCAGGCGGTGTGATGCGAGAGAGAGTGTGGTGGGAGACAGTCCAGATAATTGTGATACTGACCCGAACCCTAATCCAGTTACGAAGGGCTTAAGTACTCCCCGACCCACAGCCCTGAACCAGATACCCCGAACTGGGCTCCTATCCACCAGCTGTCTCTCGCCTGGGTCTGTTGCATTCGGCTAGAACTTAAAGGAATCCGAGGGCGAATCCTGAGTTTGGAATAGTGAATCAATCAATTTGGGGCAGATGATACTGACGTCATATTCAACCCTGAGGAAAAATTTGGAATTATTCAGGCTTCTGTCTTATAGAGTCAGAGTTGTGCAGTGATTGAATCAAAGAGCTGTCTAGTTTTAGGGGCTGTCGCTTGTTACACGGTTTAAAAGGCCCAGGTTTGCTTATGATTCTGGGCTCGGGGTTTAGATTATAAAATATTCGTGTAAGAATTAGAGTTTCAGGTGATGGCTTAGATCCTGAATAGTCAATAGTAGTTCCCATTCTGGGCGGTGCAAGAGGAGAAGTATCCTCGAACGAGCTGCGCAAGACAAAACCCAAGACATGCACATGCAGAGGGTGAACTTTGGGTACTGCCCCCATACAGTAACAGTCTATAATAGGGCTACGATTAAGGGCCTAATATATCCTATAATATAAATATTATCCAACTGTTACTGAGTGGGGGCAGTACCCAAGGTGAACTCTCAGACTCCCGCAAACTCAAAAGGCAATGGTTCGCGATTTACGATACGATGAAAACCTAAGCTGTAAGGCATAAGATCAAAAATCCCTACACCCCAAACCCTAAACCCTAAAAAGAAAGGCCTAAACCCTAAACCCTAGAAGACAGGCCCAAATCCTCAACCCTAAACGGTAAAGCCCTAAAACAACGCCCTGAATCCTCCACTCCTGGTGAACCCTAAACCCTAAACCTTAGATGCCCTAATGTAGGTGGCCTAAATACTTACCAATACTATTTTCGGTGCTCCTTATAGTAATTATGGTGCAAAGGATCCCAAAACCCCATATCTCGAACCCTATCATAGACCCCCTTTGGAACCCTTTAAGGATCCCTTTAGAGGAACCCGACTCTAATTATTAATTATTAAGACCCCTAATATAGAACCCTATCATAGATCCCCTATATAGAACCCTTCAAGGAACCCTTTTCTAATTATTCAAAGCCCCTACATTATACCCTCCCAGAGCCCTTTTTCATTACCCTTATTCAGATACAGTTAGTAAGCCTTCAGAGGAACCCCATTCCCAGAGACTCCAAGATCCCTTAAGTAAGGAATATACCTTAAACTATTGTAGGAACCCGAGCAAGATTTAAGGTAGATTCCTTAATTAAGGGATATTGGAGTCTCTGGGTTCTGAACCCCGTAACCCTAAACCCTAAACCCCTTAACCCTAAACCCTTACCCCTAAACCCTAAACCTTTAACCCTAAACCCTAAACCTTTAAAGGAACCCTAAACCCTAAACCTTTAAAGGAACCCTAAACCCTAAACCTTTAAAGGAACCCTATTCTACTTATTCAAAGCCCCCCCCCATGTTTGCCTCGAAGGGCCAGAGGCTTGACAACCTCGTGAGCCCGCTCCTGGGCCGAATTTGAACGGTTTCGGGTTTGGAAGTTTAAGGGTTGAGGGGTTTAGGGGTTGAGGGGTTTAGGGGTTTGGGGTTTGGAGGTTTAAGGGTTGAGAGGTTTAGGGGTTGAGGAGATTTGGAGTTGAGGGGTTTAAGGGTAGAGGGTTTAGAGGTTTAGGGGTTGAGGGGTTTGGGGTTTGGAGGTTGAGGGTTTTAAGGGTTTAGGGGTTCAGGGGTTTAGGGGTTCAGGGGTTTAGGGGTTGAGGGGTTTGGGTTTGGAGGTTTAAGGGTTGAGGGGTTTAGGGGTTGAGCAGTGTAGGGGTTGAGGGGTTTAAGGGTTTAGGGGTTTAAGGGTTGACGGGTTTAGAGGCTTAAGGGTTGAGGGGTTTGGGGGTTGAGGGGTTGAGCGGCTTAGAGGTTTTAGGGTTGAGGGGTTTAGGGGTGTCGGGGTTTCGGGGTTTAGGGCTTCGGGCCGAAATTGGGTCCGGAAACTTGACCCCTCAGCCCCAAATCTCGAAACTAAAACACTATCATTGTGAAATTGCTTTTGGTATACTTTGGGGTCACAAGAATAATTAAAAAAGGTAGATAGAAGGTAAACAAAAGGTAAATCGTGAAAGGTGGAAATAAGGTAGCCGGAGGGGGGAGGGGGAG